TTGGAAGCGCCTCCACAACCTGCTTCCTTGGCGGCTCCATGGCCTGTTTTCTTTTCGGAAGCGGCTTCATAGTCTGCTTCTTTTTTTGAGGCGACTCCTCCATCTTCTTTTCTTTCGGAAATGGCTAATGTGACCTTTCCTCCTCCATACGAGCCTGCAACTTTCTTCTCTAAGCTCACCTCTTTTGAGTCATTTTGAGTCCTCTTATTTCTCTCCTGATGGGAGGCTTCAGCTCATTCATAATCCATTTTTCATTATCTTTCACGATAGAAGGCTTCCGTATCGCCTTAGGAATGATGGTGATCTGGTTGGTCTTGGTAATAGTGCAAACCCATTTCCCATTCGCAACCTTCACTTATGCTACGATGGCCTCCGGCTTGGGTCCTTTGTATACTTTCATTTTCTCCAATCCTGAGGCTTTCGGACTTGGGATGGTGACACCGACATTAGGTTCCCTTTTGACCGTCCTTTGTCTTACCTTCTGAACTTTTCAAACTTGAGACTTTATCAAAGGTCACTCTTGTGAAGATGACTTTTTTAGCGGGTGCCTTCGATCCTAGAGAGTCTTTAACCGAAGGTTTTGACGGTTGGGTGCTAAGCCCGTCTTTCATAGGCCCTTTAGCCGACATGGTATTAGCAGAAGGAATAAACCCTTTGGTTAGCTTCAATTCTGTACACAAATAAGTCTTTCCTTTTGCAAATTTTGTGGCCAAAGCTTCTGCCTCCGCAAAGTCCTTTTCGTCTGAAGTTGCTAGGGCTTCTACCCCTGCAGGCTCCTTTTCGTATAGAGCCTCCATAGCCTATGGAGTCTGTGCCCTTGCAGAATCCTTTTCATATGGAGCCTCTGACCTTGCAGCATTTTTTTCATTTGGATCCTCCATGGTCTCTGGAGTCTTTGCCTCCGCAAACTCTAGAGCTTTCATGGCTTTTGGAGCCTCTGCCTCCACAGACTCCTTTTCGATTGGAGCCTCCACAGCCTCTGGAGTCTCTGCCCCTATAGCTTATTTTTCATGTGGAGGTGAATTTTCCACACTAAAAGTGGCAGTAGACTTCTTTTCAAACCTTCTTTTTTAAAATGCCCTCCTTATGCAATCTGCGATGACATCAACGTCCATCAAAGGCTTGACCTCCTCTTGATTTGGTGTCAGCGGCTACATTTTGGCTTCCTACCGATGGAAGGATGGCGGTTGCATCTCTGCGGCCTGCCATCCTTGCCCCTGTGTTTCAATGGTTCTTTTCCATTAGAGATTAGCCACGTTTGGACCGTGACATCCCCATGGTGGTGTTGATGCATCGACATAGGTTGTCCGCTTAATCGCCCTGGCGGGATCATGTCAAATGCTGGAAATTTGCTTGCCCCTTGTGAAGGCTTAGCACTGGTCTTCACAACTCCAACGACCAAGGGGTTCCAACCCTTCGCAGCCTGTTGGCTTCAGCTCTCCGCAGGCTATTGCTAGCCCTCCACAGGCTGTTGGCTCTAGCCATCCGCTGGCTGTTGGTTCCAGCCTTCTACAGACTCTTGGTTCCAGCCCTTCGCAAGTTGTTACTTCTAGCTTCTTGCAGGCTATTGGCTCTAGGCTCTAACAACCAAATGACTCCAAGCTCCTGCAGTTTGTTGGTTCCAGCCTGATCCTACCTGCCCGGCCCTAAGGCCTGAAGCATTGGATGTTCTGCAAAAATTCCATAACTTTCTTCAAGCAGTAAAAATGAATCCCATGTAAGCCCCGACATCATTCTTCAAAAACTCTGACTTTGGTCCCACTAGGCGTTCCAATTGTTGGAATCTAAAATTCAAATACTCCAAAATCATTCGTTGATTCGTCGGTGTGGGTTCCGGAAGCACTACAAAGAGCTTGTCTGTTATCGGATTGGGGGCGGCTCCTTCAGTGGAGCCTGCACGGCTTCAAGCCTAAACGATCGATTTGGATGGAATTAACTAAAATCTCCTAAAACTCGGATAAATCTACTAGAAAGCAGATAAAAACATGCTGGAAAATAAATTAAGCAAGAAATTAACAAAAAACAACATAAATTATAACATAATTGGATAATCTTCTAAAATCTATGGATAAACTAGAAAATAAAATGATAAAAGACAATAAGGATAAGATGTGTGATTTTTCTCATGTGTGAGTGTGTTCTTTTCACTATATTTAATCTAATATCAAATAACTCCCTCTTCTACCAAAAAGGTAGTTTCACTTATTCCTTCCACTACCTTCAATTGTCTGGTAACCTCCTTCCATCAGCTCCCAGCCACCTAGTAACCTCCTCCATCAGCTCTCAACCGCTTCTGTTGCCTTTGGACAGGGTTCCACTTGCTCTGAACTTCTTCCATTGCCTCTGGATCAAATTTGCCGCTTACCCCGACTTGCTTCCATTGTACTCCTAGCCGGTCCACAGGGGTGTGTCCCCAATAGCCTCGACTTACATGGAATCTTTGGATTTCTTTTTGTTGGTTTGTTCCATGAAGCTTTCTGAATAAAATATAAAAGTGCATAGGCCTTCCACTAATGTTCAGTACAAAATTATTAACCCAGGGCCAATGGAGGTAGTTATCCAATGATATGTGGAAATTGTTGCTTTATGTCTTGTGGAGGCAACCTTTCTTTGCTTTGTGGAAACACCACAGGCCAATGAAAGTAGTTGTTTTCAACCCAATAGAAGCAAAAATTTCTGACCTTATGGAAGCATTATTCCAGGATGAAGACGTTGTAGTCCAAGGAGTTACTGCCCCAAGGTTAATGAAGTTTGTTGCCCCAGGGTCCGTGGAGGCTGTTGTTTTCGGCTAGGTGGAAGCACCACAATCAATGGAAGCTATTGCCTTCGGATCAGTGGATGCAATAGTCTTTGGCTTCGAGGCTTGAAGCTCCATTGCTGTTGGGCGACTCCATGGCCTAAGAGCTCTGGCTCCACTTGTGTCTTAAAGCCTCCTTCACGTTCGGGTGCTTTTGGACCCTTGTCCAACAATGCCCTCCTCAAAAGGGTTGGGCGATTGCTTCTATTGAGGCCATGTCCTTTTGCTTTGAGCCGTTCGCTTAAATCAATTGTGGTCACATATAGTAAATTTTTTGGGTATGTGAATGATAGAAAAAGCACCGGAGGAATGGTCTTTTATATCAATGACAGATTTGTATCATAGAACTCTCAAAAACAAAAAACCGTGGTTTTGTCATCATGTGAAGCTAAATTCATGGAATCAACAACAACGATGTGCCAAGCCATATGGTTGAGAACTTTGTTAGGAAAGGCAACAAAGCAAGGTCGGAAACCAATAATGTTGTTCATTAATAATAATTCCGTTGTTGCCTTACTGAAAAATCTGGTGTATCATGGATGAAGCAAACACAACGATAGATGGTATCTTTTCATTTGAAAATGTGTCGTAGAGCAACAGGTTGATGGACCAACGAAAGCCTTGCCAATAGTAAAGTTTAAAGAAAAGTGGTACCTGCTACGTGCACGTGAAATTGGACCATGTTAGATTAAGAAGGAGCATCACTACAAAAAATATATATATATATCTAATTACCTAAAATATTTTTAACTATGAAATATTTTTGTAGTTAAAAAATATCATTTAGCAACAAAAATTAATTTCATCAATAAAAATAAATTATGTACTACAAAATTAATTTTGTCACTAAAAGTTTTTTGCTAGAAAATTATATCTTCATAGAAAAAAAGTTTTAGCTACAAAATTATTTTTCATAGCTAAAATCATTTGACTACAAAAATAATTCATATTTTGTTTCTAAAACTCTTTTGTTATAAATTTTAATTATATAGATAAAGAGTTTTTGTTACGAAATCAAAATTTCGTAGCTATATCTCTATTCTTAATATTCATTGCAAAAAAACTTATTTTTTATTACAAAGTCATATTTGTCGCCAAATATCTTTACTAATGCGGGATAGGCAATAAAATGAGTTTCGTTGCAAAAACATTTTTGCTGTGAATTATTACCTTTTGCTACAAAATATTTTTGTAGCTAAATTTCAACTTTCTTGTAGTGATGTTGCAACCATTCATAATAATTCTTCCATGGAAGTTACTACTTGACCCCATAATCACAATCAATTTCATTTTATATTGTAGTATTTAGTGTGTTCAAAGTAGTTGTTATGGTATGCACATTTTTTATGCATTTGTAGACATTAACATGGATTTATTTTTGTTTTCTTTTAAATATGCTGCAAGCCTGTTATATCGATAGTGTGAGAAAGAATAGAAAAACGTTTTCCTCCAAGCATCCTGGTGTATCAGTTTTTTTTCCACTTTCTGGTTTTATTTCTCCAACATTGATATCTTCAGTTCATACATTTGAGAGATGACACCACTACCAAAAAAACAGTTTTCTGCTACGGTCGGAAATTTGTAGCAAAAAGCCAATTTTCGTGTAATTTGCGTATTTCCTACACCTTAGTGACTACTTTTATCCATAATGTGTACTCGCATAACAAATTTTTTTGCCACACACATTTTCGTAACTACTACTCTCAGTCAACGTTTCTTATAGCAAGGTTTTTGTTACGATATTTATTACGAATATTCTCTCGTAATAAAAAGTCGAGCTTTCCACGCGTGTGCCAGGACTTCTAGTCATGATATTTGTTACAAAAGTTCCTCGCGTTACCAAAAAATTTACTATGACCGCTTGTCAGAGTATGTTTTTTGTTACGATTTTTTGTTACGTCATTGAAGCCGTAATAAATAATATATTTTCTTATGGTCACGAAACCAGCCGTAAAAAAATTATCCCTTCATATTTGTTACGTTAAAAAACCACTTTTTGTTACGTCATTTTTTTTGTTTGTTATGTAATTGAATCATTAACAAAACTATCCATTCATAACAAATAGCGTCATTTCTTCCTTTTGTTACAAAAAAATAGCGTCTCATAATAAAGAGTAGTTGTGGTACAATTGAAATTGTGCATAACAAATTAACCTGTTGTGATCTTTCTTACACCAAAGGAAATTTTGTATACAACCATGCTATAAATATTACGATTGGCCATAATTGCAAACAATAAACACTATAAGGGAATCCCGACATTGGATATTAACATAACAATATTTACTAGACGATGTCCACCGCCAAACAACAAAATAAAGTAACCCATCAAACAAGCCTAGCAACATCTTCACTTCGATATTATGTTCCACAAAATGCAATCATTTTAAACATCCAACCTAGTAATAAGCAAGTGGGGAAATCCATCAATCCATAGCAACAATTCTCACCACACAAAAGATAACTCCAAATGTCTATGCATCTATTGCATAGGTATTACACATAGCCGTAACAACCTACCATCCAAACACATCTATGGCATCTAATCCATAAGGCAAATGGGGGCAAAATATTAAGGAATCGGTTGATATGCTTCAGGGGTGGCGCATGAGCTGCAATTACCAACAGAAGGAGAGTAAAGTATAATTGAATCCCCGGCAAAAGTATCCAAGAACCATGTCAATGAAGAAGCTGCACTGAAATCATAATAGTATATCAGTCTAAATTTCAAATTATTAAATAGATGTTTACAATACACAAAACAAAAAAAAAGGTATCAAAGGCTAAAAAAACAAGTTGCATTGAAATGCTAAGATAATAACAAAAATACATTAGACTACGTTGCAAATCAATTAGATAATAACAAAAAATACAAATTGAACTAAAAATTTGCAAATTCTTGTATGTCTCTTCATTTGGATTGACATGGAATACATTAAACCAATTCAATCAATCTGAAACTATATAAATTACAAAAAACCTATTTCAACCAATTCGAAATTAAATAAATCAAATTAAACTTATTCCAACCAATCCGAAATTAAACAAATTAATTAAACCTATTTCAACCAATTTAAAACTGCATAAATTACATTAAACCAATTCTAACCGATAACATGGTTCTGAAGAGTGAGATACAGAAATTTGTACTACAACAAAAAATTTCCATCAAATTATTGTCTAGATCCTATCTTAAATAAGCATATACCAACAACTAAAACCAAAACATAACTTCCGGGTGACCACTAAAACATAATAACAATAAATCATACAACAATAATAAACTACCAAACAGCTCTACAAATGAATATTAACATGTGTTTGTGCAGGCCCAAGTGAATATTCTTACAATTTTTTCATCCATTGCTTTTAAATCAATCATTGGAATCAATTTCTTAGTTACTTTCTTCCGAACTTCATTGACATATACTACCTGGCATATATTGGTTAAATTCGCAAAGTTAGCAAATTGTTTTCCAGAAATACCAATGAAATTTCTCAATGTTGGTAGATAGTTTCCTACCTATGCAAGATCACGTTTATACCTTCCACTCAAGATCGGGCCAACATGCCCTTAGAGATTCCAACCGTTTTGTTTCTTAGCGATTGAAAACGAGAAATTTCATTAGTTAGAACCTTCATCACTTGACTGGAATATACAACCCTTTATATGCCTGCAAATTCAAAATTTTTAGATAGTTCCTGACATTACTAAGAATTCAAGTAGATATATGATACATATAATACACCCGCACGAAACTAAGCATGCATCTAACAAAAAGCCTCAAATGTAGATAGATTGTTCAAACACAATTACTTTAACTAGATATAATAATCAGATACTCGAACAAAGGCAAGAAAATCACTTCATAGATATTATGTTGTCTATCAGCTTCAACAAAAAAATAAAGCCATTTAAGTGATCAACAACACATGCAGATATAATCTGCAATTTAGTTTCCATTTCCTTCAAGTTTACAAATTTTTGCATAAGACATAAGGTTGAATGCCTCTCACGTCCAACCTACGAGAAAAATTAATTATGAAACATAAACATTGGTGAAGAATTTAATATAAAACAAAACAAATACATAACACCTAACTGTTAGAATCCACATTAGAAAAGCAAACATGTTGCAAAACTAGAAACAAACTAAACTAAAATACTGAAACTAATGAATGCAGATGCTAAACTATCAGATAGAGCACTGCACATAGAGCCATCTATGCATATCCATTAGGAGTGATCTAAAAGGAAAAAAATAAATGAAAATATGAGACAGTACAATATGATATAAATTGGTATAACGTAATTTGAAAAAAAAAAAAAAAAACTTCATGCTTCATATGCACCATTCCAAAATTAAGCAAGCATGTTTCTATCTTGACAACTTAATATGGAAACTTCTAAATTCATTAGAAAACAAATCTATTTTCTTCTCTTTTTCTTCTTCCAATCCTTCATTTTCTCTGAGTTCCTCTCCATTTTCATTTACATCTGCATGTTCATCTTATCGTCCTTTCCCACAAACAAACAAGTATGGTACTGTAAGTTAATTGATTGAACAATTCTTTGGTTCTAATGTAAATGCATTTATATTAGGAATACTTATTTTCCACTATGAATTTTAAGTTTATCTACTGAACTTGCTTGCTTACTAGTTACCTTGCTTTGTCTGTCTATTAAAGACATAGAACATTTATTAAAACAACAAGAAGAACAAGAAGTATCATAGCAATTACAATAATCAACCACCAAGCAGGTAGGCATATAGCATTTCCTCACCTCACCTCACCTCCTCCCTCTTCTCTTCTCTTTCAGATAACTCTGCGGTACCCTCCAAACGCCAAAATCTTCCAATAATAACATGTAACATAAACATATTATAACCATCTATATATCTATCAAATTCCTACTCTTCTATTCTCTTATCCTTAATTGTAAAATTCAAGACTAACCAAACAACTAACCTTAAGATTGGTGTCCCAACTTCTTGTCCACAACCCAATCAAGTCAGAAGTTAATCCCACACAACTCATCCGACCATCATGTGAACTTTGAAGAGATCCCATGTTGAAAACTGGTTGTTATTAAAAGTAAACCAAACCCATCTCATCTCCTAATAATATATTTACATAAAAAAAAACACACTCAAAGATAATAAAACAGTATGTCAAGAATGCCTATTTGTGTGTACCTGTGTTAACAGAGTGTCCTATACATAGCAATCCCCATCACAATTATTCATAGTTTGCAAACTTTCCATACACATATAAAATTAGATATAGTTCAAATCAGATGTCTCTTATATATGATCATATTTGTAAAACAAAGCCTAAAATTTTGAATGGTCGAATAATAATGTCAAGTGTGTGCATGTGTCATGTCTAATATATACTCTTTTTATATATATATATATATATAAATGTAAAAGAACAAGTAAAAGTTTGAAACAACAATTCAATGTAATTAATATACACAAAAAATTATGCATCTGAATTATGTTTCTTGAATTGGTGAAAACACATACGGACAGACAAAACACCCTCCTACATACAAACAAGTAAAGACCAGGTAGGGGTTGTATTCGTACTCTTAATTAATTCCCAAAAAAAAGTTCAGTTAATTGTTGAAATTCATTGTTTACCCATATTCTTTATTTTTCTTTTTTTTTTCTAGTACGCTTGTATACACTGCATCTACATCATATTATTATTATTATTATTATTATTATTATTATTATTATTATTATTATTATTATTATTATTATTATTATTATTATTATTTGTATATCTTGTAAAAATCAAAACCAAAATTATCAAGAAAAGGCAAACATAAATTTCTGAATTTTGATTAAATAAATAAACAAGCAACCAAAATCACTCTCTATTTTAGATTTTCACTTCCACAGACTTAAATGGTATGACTTTATTATGAATCTTCACATCAATTTAATAGACTACCTATTTCCCCAATTGAGTATCTCTCAAGTAAAAGCTAATGATCCAACCATTCTTACACTATATGTCATACTTACCCAAATGTAGAATAACCTATGTAAACAGAAATATTGCAAAGATTTTCTTAATCTCATAGTATGGTCTATTGTTTTTGTATAAGACTAATTAATGAAGTCGCCAGGAAGAATAATTTTAATAATAGTCTGTAACTAAAGTTTAGATTAAAAAATTATATATAAATTGCAAATTAGGGGGCAGCCCATGTAGATTTCAAATATGAACACTCGTACTAATCAAATATAGTTCAAATCGCCCAAAGCAGTTTTGAAATATGAGGGTTTCACAAGATATCATGAAGGTACAATGTTTACCCAATAAGAAATTATAAAATTGGGCTCAATAGTTTGCCCCACACATAAACCTTAACAATGAGGAAACAATCGTACCGTACCCGAGGCTACTCCCCAAGGTGGATGCTCCGTATCAACCTGAGGAAAAAATTGAATATTAATACTACCTAAATCGATTTTCCCTTTCAAACGAATAGACAAAGAACCGTGGATCGACACCGAATCATACTAGGGAAAACTTACAAACCTTACCTGGACACCGGCGCGGTAGATGCTTGATCCTACCAGTTTCACAGCGATGGTTGCGTCGGCGTAAGGAGAAAGAGAATACGATTGATCGATTGAGGGGGAATGATGTGCCCTAAATTTCTCTAAGTGTGGGAGCTTGTACCTGTTGTTAAAAACACACGTCCTCATTTTTTTTGAAAGCGTGAAAGCGTTTTAACCAGTTTTTTTCATCATTTTCATTTTTTTAATTTTTAAATTTTAATTTTATTTTTTTTATTTTTCAATTATTCAATTTAAATTCAAAAAACAATATTAAATGGCAATAATTACAAAAATTATCGTAACTAATGTTATTTTGATCAAAGTTTACCATCTTTGTAATTGTTACAAACTATTTTGCGTAATTAGTTAACTTGAAACGTTGACTTGCGGTAAAAATATTTTGTCACGGATTTTAACGTAACTAAAACAACCATTTGTTACGATGTTATTGTTACAAACCCTATTATCGTGGTGAATAGTCATTTTTTTTTGGTAGTGCACAATCTAGATTGAGACTATATATTCTTCTAGTTTATTTAATATGTGAATGCTAGATTTATCAGGTAAAGTAGATAGCTATGAAAGAATAACTGTAAAGTCGATAGTTCCCTTTATATATGACCGATATAAGATAGCTTTACATGTATGCACACATGTTTATCCGATTATATTAATTTTTCCCTACATAGAAGGAAAGTTCTAAATGTTTATAGGTTATAACATTCCATTTTATGATATGGAAGTCACATATTAGTCCATGTATGTTGCATATTTTATAGATACATGTCGTACATATAGTTCATGAAGCCATTTCAACGGTAGCGGTCTCAAAATTTAATTTGCATATGTATCAATCAACATTTATTAGTTCATTTTGTTTCTCAATCCAATCCATTATTTTGAATATAATTTTTGTAGTATCTCTGGGAAAGAAGTATAGAATTAGGCCTCAGCATCGAGAATTTTCCCCGAAGGCCATATAAACAGGCCGAACAGCCTGATCTTCCGGTTGAGCTTCTGGAACGGATCCTCTCGCATCTAAGCCTAGTAGAACCGGGCATCCAGTATCTACCATAGATGGATGGCTCTGGAAAAATTTGTCCGAGAAGCACACAATCACCCTTAATCATGTATTACAGATGGATGAATACAATAAACGAGTTCTACGACTCGCTTAACCGCAAGTTGCATTACATCCGGCTGCCTCAAATGCAGAATAGCCTCGTCTATTAACAGCTAGGATAGTTGGTTGCTACTCTACAGACGGCGATGCCTTACGCTTACTGTTTATTAACCTTACACTCATAAGGTCATAAGATTACCCGACTAAAATATCTGAGTGAAGTAGCTGCCTTTTCAGTCGCATCGAATACTCCCTGATGTACTTTTATCGCACTAAGCCAAGTTGAGCCCCATGTCATCGCAATCAGCATATATCGACTCACAATTGAAGCTGCATGGACCACCAACTTTTTCAAGAACTAAGAACTTTTTGCAACAGCAGTCTAAATCAAGTGACTTTAAGCAACAGACACTTATTCTATTTTAGCAAAAGTGGCTAATTAGGATGTTACAATCCCATAAATGGTGACTAGTTCATCCTCTTCTCTTATGGATATGGCCCCAAACAAATATTTGTAGAACCTTAACAATGACAAAAATATGAACAAAAATTTAAAGGACACAAAGATTTACGTGGTTCGGTCAAGATGACCTACAGCCACGGGCAAAGACGGAGTAAACTTTCACTATCAAGAGAGAAATACAAAATAGGCTTGAATAACGATTCTAAAGCCCACAACTCTCAATCTTCTAAAACTCCCTCAAGGAAAAACAAGTAACCCACAAATATATATATGGAAAGACTACTTGTCTACTTTCAACCATAAAGCCCGAGAGAGTTCTTCTTCTATCGAGATCGCTAGCATTATTAGAATTATATATCCAACCAGAGAGCTACTATTTCTTCCAAACTCCAAACAGGCATTCAAAGTACCTTGGAAGTATCTCAAAATGCACTTCACAACCTGCCAATGTGGTTTTTTAGGACAAGACATATATTTGCTAACAACACTGACTGCCTGTGAAATATCTGGACGGGTGCATACCATTGCGTCATAAGACTGCCGACTGTATTTGAATAGAGAACTTGCACCATTTCTTCTTCCTCTTCAACTGATTGTGGTAACTAAGCAGCTGATAATCGAAAGTTATAGCAAAAGGGACACTCACTAGTTTGGCATTATTCATGCCAAAATGCTCCAAGACCTTATTAACGTAGCTTTCTTGAGTTAAGACCAGTCTTTTCTATCCACGATCACGTTGGATATCCATGCCAAGAATTTTCTTTGTTACTCGCAAATCCTTCATTTTAAATTCACTACTAAGCTGCAACTTCAGAGAGTGAATTTCAGACATATTCTTGGCAGCAATAAGCATATCATCAACATACAACAATAGATAGATGTGAGTACCGTCGGCTAACTTCCAAAAATAAACACAACTATCATAATTACTCCTAAAATATCCACTACTCAACATAAAAGAGTCATACCTCTTATACCATTGTCTTGAAGACCCATTTGCTTCCAATAATTCTCTTATTTGACGGTGGTTTCACAAGGACCCAAGTATTATTCTTGTGGAGAGACTCAATTTCTTCATTCATCACCGTTATCCACGTAACGGAATCATCACGCTCAATTGCATCTGAATATATGGATGGTTCACTACCTCCACCTATTTCTTTTGCAACAGATAGTGCATATGCGACAAAGTCTATATACGGCTGTGGAGGTCATGTGTCTCTGCGCTGTCTTCCAATGGTTATGAAATATGGCTCTTCTTCTAAACTTTTAATATCAACTGATGTCTACTGAACAGAAGAGTCTGGCTAAGAAGTGCTAGAACAACCAATTTCGATCTCCACCTGCTTCTTTCTCTTCTGAACTCAAAGACTTCTTTTTAGACAACATGGCCATTTCATCAAAGGTAACATCTCTACTGATTACAAACTTTGAAGATTTGGGATCAGGACACCATAATCTATATCCTTTTACTTCAGAAGCATAACCAGGGAAAATGCATTTCTTAGCCCTAGGCTCCAATTTTCGTTCATTTACATGCATATATGCTAAACACCAAAAAATCTTTAAATTAGAATAATCAACAGGAGTACCTGGCCAAACTTCTTCAGGAGTTTTAAAGTTGAGAGCAGAATTTGGAGAACAATTGACAATGTAGGCAATCATGTTAATTGTTTCAGCCTAAAAATCCTTAGTCAATCCTACATTGGAGATCATACATTTTCCCCTTTCCAAAAGCATTATGTTCATACATTCCGCCATACCATTCTGTTGAGGTTTCATCCTGACTGTGTGATGCCGAACGATTCCTTCTTTCTTGCAAAACTCAATGAACTCCCCTCCACAAAATTTCAAGCCATTATAGGTTCTCAACCATTTGATTTGTTTTCTTGTTTGCTTTCCAATCAAAACTTTCCACTGTTTGAAAGTTAGAAAAACATCATTTCTTATTCATAAAAAAATTACCCAAAGCTTTCTTGAGTAGTCATCAAGAAAAGTTAGCATATACCTGGCACCACATTTAGATGAAACATGAGATGGACCCCAAAGATCAGCGTGGATATAGTCAAGTGTACCTTTTTTCTTGTGAGTTGTTGGTGACTTGAAACTCACCCTTTTTTGTTTTCCCAATATGCAATGCTCACAGAACTTCAACGATCCAGTACTTTGTCCCCAAAGAAGTCCTCTCCTGCTTAAGATTCTCAAGATTTTTTCATTCATATGCCCCAAAAGCATATGCCATAACTTGGTGATGTCAGATTCAACCAAAGAAGATAATAAAACAGCTGCATGCCCAGTAACAGTCGTCCCTTGCAAAGCATACAAGCTGCCAAATCGGATACCTTTCATAATCATGAGAGCACCTTTGAAAATCTTCAGAACACCATTTTGACTCGTTTACCTACAACCAAGTGCCTCAAGTGTCCCCAAAGAGATTAGATTCTTTTTCAAATTAGGGTCATGTCTAACATTAGTAAGTGTCCTCACAATGGCATCATGCGAATACGCAAACAAATAAATTATTAGGCGTGGGTGAAGTGTGACGAGAAAAATTGGACGTCTGGAGTGTCACGAGTTATGTATTCTTTGTGGTTGTGATGGAGTTCCTGTAGTATTGCGGTCATTCGGCGAATCTCTATTCGACGTCGCATTCCCTTTTGATGAATTATCAACAGTCAGGAGAATCAATCAGTATGTAGGTTAAAGTCCTCGATATTTGTATGCCATGAGTTAATATACTACCTGACGACGGTTTGGATCATCCGGAGTGTCACGGAAGCCCGGCCCAGCTGCACTTGATTTCTGCATAGGCACCTGCAATATATAACATGAATTATGACCCCATATTTATACGAAAGTAGTTAATATGATCTAGGGGCTACTACCTTCGGAGGAAATGGAACATTTTTGCATCGTCTTTTGTTATGCCCATGTTGCAAACACTTTGAGCATGTGGTCGTCAACCCTTTCCGTGAGGCTTTCTTTGGGTTTTTCTCGTCGTTTCCATCACGCTTCCTTACTTTCTTTGGTCTTCCCGTGCGAATCTTTATTTTTGAGGGATCAACCGGGCCAAGGTGTCTTTCCTTATATTCGTGCATGCCAAGGACGGGTTAATATAGTAATTGTATACCGGTTCATACATCTCCCTCCGGAAGCAGATATCCACAAAATCATCAACGTTAATCCGGTGGTGATCGATGGCTGCAATGGCGTGGCAGCATGGGTACCCAAAAATTTGAAACATCCCACACGTGCAAGTCCTATTTCAAAGCTGAACCGCATGGTCTCGTTGATAATGTAGAACCTCGAAGTTTTCTCCACCTCCCCATGATGCGAAATAGTTTATTGACTCTACCCGATGCTTGTCGATCTTCTTCACAATGTTGGGGCATATGGCTCCGGCAAATTTTTCAATCCCCACACGTTTCGTCTATATTCGAACCATCAAGTTACGCCTTATCCACTCCCACATATCAATAATTGGGAGATCTCTAGCATCCATTATATACCGGTTGA